GAGGGTGGGTGCGGTGGAGGGAAGTAAATTCCAGAACACGGATTGGGGACATTTGGCTCCGGGACACGGGGCAGAGTCCACCTCCCCTCCCCCCCATACACACGGTACAGAGCCAGCTGGGCCCCGGGCCCCTCCAGGTCAGATAATGGTGGGCTCCGATGAAGGGGTCCTCCGCAGTGTGCATAGGGAGACAACACAGAGATACTACTGCTCAGGTCAGCGCTATGGTCACATGACTGCTACACAGCGCCATGGCTGCCGGTATACAAAGTTCTCACAAACGTGCAGCGCTCCTGCAGATGTCGGCGCTGTGGCGGTACCTGGCACACAATGATGGGGTGAGTAGTGGTCAGTCATTACCTGTGGCCCCCCGCTGTACCCCCTCCTCTGCACCCGGATCGCCCCCCGGACACCCGAACACACCGCCCGCAGCATCTCCGACACCTGAGAGTACTGCGCATGCGCGGGCACACACCTCCAGCAGGTTGTGAGCGTGCGCGCTTAGTCTCCCCCCCCCGCTCAGCTGTCAATCATCCGCTTGGGAGGGGGCGGGGCATCAGTGTCATTAATTGGAGTTGAACTTCCCCCAGTGAAATCTACATCCGGTTTCTGTACTTCCGGCCTATGGGGTCACCGGGGATGTGTTCTGGGAGAGAAGAAGGTTAGAAACCCAATATTGGATATCTGTGTCTCCTGAGCAGATTTCTCTTCACTTCCTGTTCAGGAGGCACAACAGGAAGTCTCATCTTGGAAGATTTCACCTCTCTCGCTCTTCTCTTGACAACTGTAGCATTTATCCCATCTCAATAAATAGAGTGGTGTCACCTCCCCACCCCCCAACCTGTGATTGGACAATGAAGGAGCAGCAAACTGCTGACACTGCCTCCTGTAAGCATGCTCATTCTGTTAGACTGACAGCACTGTGCAATGGCAATGCATCATCTGCGGAGATGCTGGAATTTGAAAAGGAGGGAGGGGATACCCCATGGTGGGCAGGGTCACCCCAAGGGTGAGGGGATACCCCATGGTGCGACCGCAGCCGGCTGTCCAGTAGCAGCTGTGACACCCCGCCTCCCACATTGTAGACTCCGCCCACACCTGAAATAATACGGCAGACACAGGGAGAGGAAATCATTCCTTTATTGTAGAAAAGTCATCAGCGGAATCTGTTCCCAGGTGGAGCTCGCTGTGTCACAGCTCTGAATGTACGATAGGGGCGGAGCCATGACAGCACTGAATGTATGATGGGGCGGAGCTATGACACCGCTGTGATTAGGGTATGGTAGGGGCGGAGCTATGGCACAGCTCTGATGACGTATGGTAGGGGGCAGAGTCATGTTCCACACAGTCTGTTCTGGGGACACGGAGCCCCTTTCTCCTCATGGTAGGGGCAGATATTGGGGTGTGGTGACAACTCATAAGAGGAAGTCCCGGGCAGGTGACTCGCTATGGTATCCGGAGCCGTCCGGGTGCCCCGGGAGATCCCCATCCGACATTCCGCACTCAGGCTCCGCCTACTCATGTGTAGGACAGAAGATTGATGTCATAGCAACCGTCCACCTGAAGAGAGAACAATGGGAGAGATCAGATCTGCTCCGCCACCACGGATCACCATGACAGTCACATGACCTCTACTGCTGGGCCCCTATAGAGTGATTTCTATTCGTCATCCCTTCAGAAAGTAATTGATGGAAAATGGTGGGGGATGGGACATGAGGGGAGGGCGGGACATGGAGG